TCCTTTCTCCGGCCGTTTCAGCGTTTGCCTGGTGTTTTATCGCCGGAACCTGAACCGTTCCTAGTGCGTTGCCACTCGCCGCTAGGGTTTCCCTGGATCTCTTCTTTTTCCGGCGATTTCTCCCCTTCTTTCTCAGGCCATTTCTGCTCGCGTCACCTGTGCCATTCGCCGTTTGACTTTCACCCCTCGTTGACTCACCGGAATCTGCTCCTGTTGTGTGCCGATCTGCTCCTGAATAGTTCCCTGTGCATCATTCTGCTCCGAACAATAAAATCAACTGTGAGGGACTCCTGAATTTCATCATCAACTGGCATTGTATTACTCTTTGAAGTAACCTTTGAGGCAGGGAACGTTTGATCACCACCAATCAGGAAGTCATGACTTCAGGCAACAGCAGCAGTTCAGATAGTGATCTCATGCACATTACAGGACACAAACTAAATGGGAATAACTATCTCCAATGGTCCCATTCTATAATGATGTTTATATGTGGAATGGGAAAGGAAAATTATCTCAATGGAGTTGCAGCCGCTCCCACTGTGGTTGGTACCGGTTCTTTGGCACAGAAAGGTAATTTTTTAAGTGCTCTTAATGCTAAAAAAGAGAAGACAGGTCCATGGATCATAGACTCCGGAGCATCAGACCATATGACTGGAGATAAAGTTTTTTCTACTTACAGTCCCTGTTCTAAGAATTTAACTGTCAGAATAGCCGATGGTTCTCTCTCAAAGGTGGCTGGTACAGGATCTGTTAAAGTTTCGGAGAACATCACACTTAACTCAGTTCTCCTTGTGCCAAATTTGGATTGCAATTTACTGTCCATAAGTAAACTCACTCGGGATCTCAATTGTGTTACTAAATTTTCCTCAAATCTGTGTGAATTTCAGGTCTTGGACTCGGGGAAGACAATTGGCAATGCTAAGATGTGTTCGGGGCTCTATCTTCTCGAGGTTAATGATCCTCCTAAAGGAACAACTCACAAATCAGATTGTTCATTGTCCAGAAGTCCAGGTTCATTTTCTGTTATTCGTTCTAATAATGATAGTGCAATTATGTTGTGGCACTATAGGTTAGGACATCCAAATTTCTTGTACCTGGAGAAGTTGTTTCCTTCACTATTCCATAATAAAAATCCAAATGATTTTCAGTGTGAGATTTGTCAATTTTCAAAACATGTTCGCAACTCTTATCCCAACCACTCCTACAAAGCATCTCATCCCTTCTCAATGATTCACAGTGATATATGGGGCCCATCTAGAATAAAAAATGTTACAGGATCTCACTGGTTTATCTCTTTTATAGATGATCACACTAGACTCACCTGGGTATTCCTCATGAAAGATAAATCAGAGGCATGTCAGATTTTCAAAAATTTCAACACCTTGATCCAAACTCAATTCCAAGCAAAAATTCAGATACTGAAAACTGATAATGCCAAAGAATATTTCCAATCCATTCTTGATGATTATCTCTTGAGTCACGGTATAGTACACCAAAGTTCATGTGTCAACATTCCTCAGCAAAATGGAATTGTTGAAAGGAAAAACCGGCATCTTCTAGATGTTGCCCGCTCTCTCATGTTCTCTACACATGTACCAAAATTTTTTTGGGGTGAAGCCATTCTCACTGCAGTGTATCTCATAAACAGGATGCCCTCTCGTGTTCTCAACTTCCAAACTCCATGTCAAACCCTACTTCAGTCATTTCCCAATACTCGTCTCATCTCGACTATTCCCTTCAAAGTATTCGGGTGCTCAGCCTTTGTTCATGTTCATCAACAACACAGGGATAAACTTGATCCTAGAGCCCTTAAGTGTATTTTTCTTCGGTACTCTCCGAATCAAAAGGGATATAAGTGCTATTCACCTGTCACTAAAAGGTATTATCACTCCATGGATGTCACCTTCTTTGAGCAACAACCTTATTACCCCAAATCTAATATTCAGGGGGAGACTAATTTTATTCAGGAATACCAGCTTTGGGATATTGAAGAATCATCTCGCCTTTCTTCTAATTCTGACCAATTTCACCCACCACAAAATCATCCTACTGAATCTCATTTTCCTCATCTCTTCTTAGAGTCTCCTCAAAATCAAACCAACAATCTGCCTACTCAGAATCTGGACACTATTCAATCAACAAATAATGATGAGTTGATTACCTACTCACGGAGGAGAAGGAACCAAAAGGAAATGGAACAACAAGCATCTCTTGAGCAAACCCAAGAGTCTGATCCAAGTCCTAGATCAAGTGAAGATCCTTCAGGTAA